GCATTGTTCACGTTGTTCTCGAGGTCATTGTTCCCGTTGTTCTGCGGCGCAATGTTCACGTTGTTGTTCCTCCGACGTTTGCAGGAGGATGTTCGCGAGATGGAGCGGCGGAAGCGCGTCTCGCTCGTTCTGAACAGCCAGGCGTTCCGTGAGGAGCTCGAGGAGATCATCTCCAGCCAGCTTCGTCAGGGTCCGCACCCAGCCAGCCTCATCGCTCTGCAGCAGATATCCGAGCTGCTGCCACAGGGACGACTACAGCAGTCGTTCGGCAGCACCGCGGGAGGAGGTGGAGGAGGAGGAGGCATGGGGAGAGGTGAGAGGAGGAGGAGGAGGCATGGGGAGAGGTGAGAGGAGGAGGAGGAGGCATGGGGAGAGGTGAGAGGAGGAGGAGGAGGAGGAGGCATGGGGAGAGGTGAGAGGAGGAGGAGGAGGAGGAGGAGGCATGGGGAGAGGTGAGAGGAGGAGGAGGAGGAGGAGGTGGAGGAGGAGGAGGCATGGGGAGAGGTGAGAGAAAGGGTGGGATAAGAGGAGGAATGGATGGGGAGAGGTGAGATCTCATGCGTGGTGTTGTGAGAGATGGAGGCGTGAACATAGGTAAGGTATTTCACACCTGTGGCGTGGAGGCAGCGGTGCAGGGATGGGCTGATAGTTTATATTTTACCGTAAAATACGTATCACGGCATAGTCTACGAGAATCGGCCGTTACCATCATCGCAGTATCAAACTACAGCAGTCGTCACCGACGTACCGGTAATCGTAATTGATGGCTTCACCACCGATCTGCAGGGATTTACTAACCTCCATAAGGCCAAAACAAAATATAGGTGTTATCGTTTCCTGACCGACCCTATTTATTCCCAGCGACCCTAAACATTTTATTGTCAATTTTCTTTAAAGTAAAAAAAAAAAATTTAATTAAAAAAAAAATGAATTGGACAGTTCCTGCTTCAAAAGGCACAACGCACATCCTTCGGACATGGTTCGTAAATAAAATGTTTCAATAAAATAAAATGTTTTCCCTACCTACCTACCCTATTTTTTTTCGGCATGAAACGGTAACCACACTTATATTTTGTTTTGGCCTAAGCAGTCTAGTGCGTAAGATCTCCAGCTACAGCTAATATGTAGTCTAATATGTCGTCTGATATCTTGTCTGATATGTCGTCTGATATAGAGCTAAAAAACTATGAAACAATGAATATCAACCTCCGCTGTTCTCATTCTCTGTCCACAGGTAGTGTAGTTAAACCTCAGCCGAGTCACGTCTGCATTAAATGTGTCTACCCTCTCTGAAATGAGAAATATATATATATATCTATATACCTCCTTACAGACATAAATGAGACTAGTTGTGTAAGATGAAGGCAGACAGATAAGCAACTTTGTATAGCTAGTTGTTATATATGAAATTCGGTTACACAACAATCTTTGTATGTTTTCGCTTACGACGTCAATTTATCACAATCACTTACGTTTCAGTGCAAATTTTTCGCTTTCTAGCTTTTTATGGACCTTTTTGTATTCCTCTTCTTTCGTTTTAGATTCAACCTTTATACTAGATAGTTCTTTCTGAAGAATTTTATGTTGCTCGAGCAATTCATCATACTCTTTTTGGACGCTATCATGTTGATCCTAAAAATGCATTGATATATGCAAATAAAGATGTGTGCCAACATCACATAAAGGTGTGCTTCCTATCACCATGTATGATGCAGATATGAACACTCTTACCTTTAATATGGAGTACATTTTATATAAGTACATACAAAAAACTAAATAGAGCTCTTTTTACGTAAAATATATGATAAATATCAAGTAAGGAATTCAACCCACCCTAAGTATTTTGTGGTCTTGATTTAGAGAGGCGAATCTGTTATTTGCTTCTTGCTGAAAATAAATTACACCGATATAATTCATCAATGAACTGCTTTAGTATATTTTATTCACCAGCATTTCATTTTACTTAATTGTAAATCAAAAGATTTGTTTCTAAAACTCAGGATAAAGTATGTATTTTTTTCTATATCGCTTGGATAAATAGAATAAAAGTTTAACAATATTGACTAAAAAATATTCCAGCCGCTAGGTAAGAAACATACCTTTTCTTTGGATAGTTGTGCCTCCGCCGATAGCCGATGAGCTGCAAACTCTGTTTCCAAAAATTTTTATTTAATGACTATTATTTTAATTTTTGCAATGCAAGACAAAAGTAAGACATTCCAAAGGACACATATATAGTGATTGTATTATGGCCAAAGAACAACTATCCATGTATACAAATATATAGGGATCAATATTTCTGTGGTAAGTTCCAGCAATTTCCT